ATGGAGGGTGAGATGCCCCTCTAGCTCCATTCTGGTGCCCATCCCTCCCTTAAAGGAGCACCTTGGGCTCATGGCCCACTCACCCACCTGAAGTTACACTACAGCTCATGAGTGTCATCCCATTTAAGGCAAACAGAGTCTCTGCCCAACTTGTGGAATGTAAAGTAACACACTGATTTGCTTCAGTAAATGGGGGAAAATGTCTCAATGGAAAAATATAGTTTAACTTACATAATTATTGATATTTTTCATTTTACGACTCACGCTGTCCTGCTGGAGAGGATAATGTATAGAATAGCAGACAAACCACTACTTAGCATTGTTCAAAATGTCACATCATCTGTTAGACACGCCAGAACACAGTCATGCTGTGGATTTGTAGTACAGCAAGATCCTTTTGTATGAATATGTCAGTGGAAAATGTATTGAAACAAAAAGGTTTTCCAGTTGAACTCCTGCTTTCTAGAAATATATTGGTAGCTTAAAATTACATTCTTTGCTGGCTGGTTCTTTGCGCCTATTGTGATATATATATCTGTTCCATGTCCGTCACAACTATTAAAGTATTAAATCCAAAGCTTGAGTTTTACTTCCTGCAGTGGTACTTTTATCCTTGATTTCATTTTTAACAATTTTTGAAGGAAGGGGAGTCATATCTTTTCTCCATCATTCATTAAATAAATGTACAAGTCCATGAATTATAAAAATCTTTGTTTCTCAAGATAGTACCTAGCTAAATTCCCAACAATCATAAAAGTACTCTTTGGTTTTCCTTCGATCTCCACATCAGGGAGCAATGCATGCTAGAACTATAATATAAAAGTATATTTAATTGTTTACCAGATCATGTCATATAATACAACTTTGTGTCTTTCATCATAAACCAAACCTGTGTTGAAATAATCTCACACTGTCCTTTTTATATTGCCATAATATGCTCAGTTTTAAAATATACAGAGAGTGATTACACTTGACTCTTTAGCAACAGTGAATGTCTTTTTCTTATACATACCCCTTTTGCATCAATCACACCAGGTTTTGCATTAAACTTCACTGTCTTCAAGCGAGCACGCTCCTTTCTTTCAACCCTAGGAACAATTAAAGATGAATAAACAATTGCATGGCAATAATAATAATGTTCTGCACCCGTGTAGCAACGTTTATCTAAGGAACTTAAAGCACTTGCTGCACATGGTTTGAACCTCAAAGCACCTCTAATATTATCATTTCCATTTTTTAACTGCATAAACAGAGGCAGCAGTCAAGTGATTTGCCCAAAGTCACTGAACTATTTAGTGTCCAAGACAAGAATAAATCCCGCTAGAACAGCAATCTATCCCAACATAAAGAGGGGTGGAGTAAAACTTTCTCAAGTTCCAATTTGCTTACATGGTAGTCAAACAAGATTTGGGCAGAATTTTAATCATCTGCATCACAAAGCAACCCAGACCAACCCCACGCCAATGGCTATGATACTGCTTGGGCACATTTAGAATCATTAAGTGCTTCCATTTCAGCCTGAAAAGACTGCTAGACCTAGGCGAGCGTGCATGATCAACACTAGGAGGGGTGCACTGATAAAGATTTTTTTGGCTGATACCGATGGCTGATTATTAACCAGCCATATTGGTTGATACCGATCTGATAGCTGATATGCAGCCTGGCAGCTTGGAGAGCAGTGTCCGGTTGGTAAGTCTGTGGGGGAAAAGGGCGTGGGGGAGGGAAGGGGAGTGGAGGGTGCAGATTGAGGCCCCCCCCATGGTGATGGAGGGAGTGGGGCTGGGGCAGGGCTGGAGCTCATTTGGGAGGCACTGGGGCATGGCGGGGGGGTCCCTGCTGCTGCATGCACCCCCAAGGGAGGCATGGTGGGTATGTGACACCCAGATTTGTGCACAGGGTGAGGGTAGGCTGCCCAATGCAGGTTGGGGACAGGGGCTGCGTCAGCCTCTTCCCAGCAGGGGCTGGGTTGGGACTGTGTGCTGGGTGGGCAGAGGCGGCACTGGGGGG